ACTCCTGTACACAGTGATGCTCCAGATGACTGTGGAACACTTTTTGTTAAGTCTAAAGGGATTCTTATTTCAGGAATTATGCAGAGTCCACACTTCAGAGAACGTCAGGAGAGCACAGAAAAACTAGGAGCCTAAAATAAAGATACACTACAGCCTTTTAGGAGTGAGGAGAAGGCCTAAATGTAGTCATTTAAAAGACCTCTTACTCCTCTGTGAACAGGTATTCAACACTTTTTTGTTGAGTAACAACTAACATTTTTGTTAAAATAACAAGAGAAAGAGCAAAAACTGTTACTGAACCATTTTAATCTCTAACACTAAATGTAAGTTTTTTCTTTTCCTTCCTTTAGAGATTATTACTTCCAACCATTTATGACTTAAATTTGTTAAGTACTAATAGTTCAATCTGTTTGGTCAGTTTGCTGAAATTTCAGAAGCAGAAGATAGTCAAATGAGTGTTCACAATTCTAAATTACAAGCAAATTTGAATAATGCATGACAGAAACAAGACCAAATCAGGAGTGAAAAAATACAGTTATTTAGAAATAGATATACTGGACTAGAGTTTAATTAAAATATTTCTCTTCCAAAGGGTATCACACTGATTTTCAGTACTTCCCATACCAAATCACCAACCATGGAACTCTTGTCTTACCTGAAACTGAGCCATTAATGCCAGTGGATTATTTTGACTGTTGTCAAATGTCAAAACATCAAAGATTCCGACACAATTTACTCGTAACCTTTAGGAACAAGAAAAGGAAGTGTCATTAAATTTTTTGTGGCTCAATTTTACCTCTAGCATTCATTGAAAGCTTTGATATGACAAAAAAAAAATCAGTACTCAGTAAATTACTATGAAGCAAAAAATACTAATTTTACTATTTGACAAAACACAGAGAGCCTTCAGTTTACAAACAAATCAACACATTTCTGAAGTGTCAGCAGACGATCTAACAATACTTTGAGGATGATGCATAAATATTTGCAAAATATGTTCAAAGACTTTTTTAAAAAGTTACAAGATTTAGCACATTGTTTCATGCCAGTTAAAATTAGTAGAACTTTCTAGTTAGGCTTTGTTATCTTCCTAACAAGTGCACTGTCAGCAGCCACCATGAACACAGATCACAGTAACACAAACACAAGTGCTTTTGTGACCTTGTTTTGCCCGTTACTAGAATCTTTGTTGGATCCATAACTCGGCACGCCAGTCCTGCTGTATGAATGGTCCGCAATGCTGAGCTCAGCTGCACAATATATGCCCATATCAAAGACTCAGGAAGCAATCCAGCATGCTGCCGTGGTAGAGGTCCATCATGCTGACCTAGAAACAAAACATTGTAAGCATCAATAGAAGGCTACTGCACAAAATTCAAATTAGAACATTTTGAATTATACAATTAACTCACATATTCATTTCATTCAACTCTTAACAGTCTTCAAAAGACATATCTATTGTGCTTTAATGGTTGGTTTGAGGTTGTTTTTTGTTGTTGTTCGGTTTTTTGGTTGGTTCTTTTGTGGGTTTTTTTGGTGAGGTTTTTGTTGGTTTTTTGTTTAGGTTTTTGTTGTTTTTGGTTTAGGTTTTTGTTGGTTTTTTGTTTAGGTTTTTATGGAAGGACATGACATTTTAAAATGCTGACAATTCACTGGGCATTGTTATTTTCACTCTCATATTCAGGAAAACCATGCTGATTTTTAAAGTTTAGGATAAATAATTACTGTAAAAAGAGCACTGGTTAGAAATCGCTGAAAGTACATCAAAATATGCAGGTACTTCAAAATTAAAACCATTGCTATTCTGAAACAATGAGCACATACCACAATAGCTGCAATAGCTGCATTTCACCTCCTTTATTGTAGGAAGGCTTACAAATTAAACATTCTCTATCAACTGATACAGCAAAAATAATTAACAAGCTAGTTTCAAATTACATGGGCAAATCATGGACTAGAAGATTTGGCAGCTAAACATCACTAAACACAATTTCATGTACATTCTGCTGTGACCTAGATCTCTGATAATTCATCACTGCATGACCCCTGTTCAACGGGTTGTGTGAAAGCAATGCATCACTCGCCTTCTAAATAGATCTGTAGTCCTCCTTTCAAAAGTAAAACAAATTCTTTGCAAACACACACCTAAACTCTACATTGCAAATGTTTCTGACCAATACAAAGCCAGAGACAAAAAAATAAAGATACCAACAACAAATGTTATTTTTAGTAAGACACGTGTAATTCAAAGAAGTTGCTACTGCTTGTATGGCACAAAGCTGAAGTAATAGAAGTAAACACAGAGTAAGACAGTGAACCTGAATTTTACAAAACATGACAGGCACTTCATGGGGTTGCCTCAGTACAGATTTTTCTCATTTTGAGACTAGTAATATCATCAGTATTTAGTAAAATCATGTAAGCATTCAATTCAGTTGTAAATTGACTGCACTCCTCTTCTCCAAACATTTGTTTCCTCATTATTTATTTATTTATTCCCCTCTTTCTACAGAAGCATATCAACATCTGTGTACTTGCTCAAAATGAGTTTGTGTGCACTTGCATGTGTACACACAAACACACAGACATACATTAGGAAGAAGTTCTTCGCTATGAGGGTGGTAAAACACTGGCACAGGTTGCCCAGTGAGGGGGTGGAGGACCCATCCCTGGAGATATTCAAGGTCAGGCTTGATGGGGCTTGGAGCAACCTGATCTGGTAACATTGTCCCTGCTCACTGCAGGGGGGTTGGACTGGATGATCTTTAAAGTTCCCTTCCAACCCAATACACTCTATGATGCCGATATATAAAGGAGTTAAAAAAAGAAACATGTTACTGAAAAATTTTTATTTCACAGTTTTAGTGATTCTGGGGCAATGAGCTGGGAATCACAGCTTTCATTTCTGAGCTTCTGTTTGTTTTTAAATGTAAGTTCATTTAAGGTGCTTTGGTTTAGATTATAAAGATCAAGACCCTGACTCCTTTAAATAGCAATAAACTCGGCATGTCTACTGGAGGGTGAATATAGTGACATATTCTTTAGTTTTTCTGTCTTCCTGATAAATCATTATGCAAATCACTTCCCACAAACCAGCATACTAGAAGTCTCATACAGCAAACTTTTTTCCCTTCCATCATTCTCTCTCCTTCAGCATGACAAAAATTATCATGGAATAAAATAACTGAGGAGATATAACCTCCTTTATTAGTCAAGGCTCTTTCTCTAGTTACTACTTGCTATAGAATGCAATTTGTATTTGGTAAACAGCAACATGTGTGATATGTTTAACAGGACACTAAAAAAAAAGTTATATCTATATGAAATAAGTATGTCCAGAACAGAAATACTGCTATGATATCCCAGAGATAGAGACAAGCCAAAACTGGGGGATTATATTTCTGCATGCAGCTTAAAAACAACAGGATTTGCCCTTTGATTTCCAGACAAAAGGCAATGTAACCAAGAGAATATCTAACACACACTGAAAAGCTAAAAGACCAGAGTTCAACACAGCTAGTCCCCCCCTCTATCAGAAAAATCTCAATCAAGCAACATTATTTTACTACTTGAAAGACTCCACTGAGGCTACAGCCAAATCTAGGCTGCTTCTTTCAGACTGGTTGGCTGAACCCAGTATTTGCATACACTAAATGTACAAGCTAAAACACTGGAAGAATCAGTTTTGAAATGGTGTCTTACATGTCTATCTGTTCAAAACAAGTAAGATTAAAAGCAGTTCAGTTTGCTGCACTGCTGACTATAAAGTATATCCCATGAAGACCCATCAGTGCTACCACAGATGGCACTTGAGCAAGGACCCACGTAGGAAACATTACAATAATTTAAGAAAACATTACAAAATGATCAGAATTACTTTACTTCAGAAAAGTGGTATTTTAGAGGTTTCATGGTTTATTTAAAAAAGGCTTTCCAGAGGTGGTTGATTCCACAGCCACAATACGAAAAATTTCAGATTACATTCTTCCCGCCTACTGCAGGGCAAACTCATCTCTCTCACTATGTTCATCTCTCCAAGATGCAGAACATAGATACTAACAGAGAAGATTAAAAATTAAAGAACTGCCATTCCAAAATCATGGGTTATCCATTATTTTTCCTCGCTGCATGAAGATAAACTGAGTGTAAGTTCTATGGTATGATGTTCTCAATTGCGCAAGAAATGTCCCCTTTGCACCACTGTGCATGTGTATACTTCTTTCTGTTTGTTAAAAAAGCATTGAAATGAAATTCAGTTCCCCAGAGCAAGGATAAAGCCAGGGATAGTCCTAGAGTGGGAAGGAATTGCTGGGGCCACTGGCAGTAAGACATCATCAGAAACACCGTCGGAAAGCATGCTAACAGCACTTCTCATCAGACAGGGGGGAAAAAGGG